CATCGTGGTTTGGCCAGCTGCATCAGATCTCGCAGCCGTATCGGGACGCCGTCACCAGCTGCAACTCCATTGAGGAACTCATCTCCAACATCAAATTCAACGCCATGGACGGAGACATGCGTGCGACCGCGCACTCCTGCTACAAGCTCAGCAAGGCCTGCCTCATCCGCGCCACCGGCTTTGCTGCCCAAGACCCAGACCTTGTGCAGCGCAACATCAAGGTCTTTGCCGTCTGTCCCGGCTGGGTTCGAGTAAGTTGCATGGGTACGGCGTGTGTGTGTGCGCGCGCGTATGTGTGTGCGTGTGTGCATGTGAGTATGCGTGTGCGTGTGTGCATGTGAGTATGCGTGAGAGAGTGTGAGAAGTGTGTGTGTGTGTGTGTGTGTGTGTGTGTGTGTGTGTGTGTGTGTGTGTGTGTGTGTGTGTGTGTGTACAAGTTGTATGTGTACATGATTGTCTGATTGTGTTTGAGAGGCGCCATCATACTGTACCTGAGTAATGTGTGTTTGGATACCGTCACATCCTTACCACAGGGCCAGCAGGCACTTTGCAAACACTGTTCTGTGGAATCATGCCACATCCCACTGCCCTAACCTTTCTTTCTTGCCCGCATGCATGAACACAAGAGAACGTTGCCCGTTCCCTTTTTCCCCCCTTCGTCTCACGGAAACTACACATACACACACACAACGCAAACTCAACGCAAACACAACCACACACACACAACATTCATTTATCCTTTGCCAGACGCAGATGGGCGGGCCAAGCGCCACCCGCTCCGTTCCAGAAGGCGCCGCCTCTGTCTTGGCGCTCGTTGATCCAAAGGAAGAGCACGTGTCTGGCGGCTTCTACCGCGATGGCAAGCCCATGAGCATCGACTGACACCGACACGCCTGCGCGTCGCTCCACCTTTGCACATCACGAACACCCGCGTCCACGCGATGCAACACACAACCGTTACCGTACTTGCTTGCGAACTGCTTGATTGCTTGCCTGCATGCATCCTTTCCTCCTCAGCCTCCACTCGATGTTGCAGTGATTTCGGACTTGAAAGAGGCCTCTCACCTCAAGCAACATTCTTCGTTGTTTACTTGTTGTTCTGAGGTTGCCCTCTCGTCTCGTCTTGTTAGCCATGCTCTGCCCCATCTGTCTTCCTGTCTTCCTGTCGCGTCGCGTGTGCTCCTTGTAGGCCCGCCCAGTGAAAGAGAAGAGAAGACGACGAAGGAGAGACAAACAGAACGAAGAGGGGGGAAGAGGGAAGGAGGGAAACCGAAGATCCTGTCCTCCCAACTGTCCTTCCCGTGCGTTGTATTGGCCTACAAATAGGCCAAATTCACAACCCACAAAACGCAAAAAGATGGAAGGAGGTGGAGGTGGTGCGGAAAGGCTGGTTGAAGAGCAGCAGCAGCAGCATGATGTCATGGAGGAGAGTGGGGATGAGCGGAACGACGAGCAACATGTGGTTGATGAGAACCATGGCGGCGGCCAAGAGGACGATGGGGAGGAGGAGATTGACGATGCAGACGTCGCCACGTTCGGATACGACCAGGTATTGTCCCGCGGGTGATTTTGTTGTGAAGTCATCGTGTTGTTGTTGTTGTTGTTGTCGTCCTTTGCTATAGTTTGTCACCTTCAAACCTATCATTCACACACACACACACACACACACACACACACACACACACACACACACACACACACACACACACACATATTGCAGGCACCGCCGTCCATGATCCCGCTCTTCTCCTCCATATTCACTACGTTTGCCAACTTTGCCAAAGGTATGCCGACACGAATCGTAAAGGTGACAGCTCACTCCAACAGCTGTCCAATCTTCCTCTTCCACAACACAAATATGTATGCGCGCACGCAATACACGCATGCTCAATTATGCTTCTACATGCTGTGACACCTGTGTCTGCCTTCAGGTTGGCTTCGCCAGACGCCACACACACAGTCACCACACAACAACGGCAGCCCAACCGCAATGCAACCACAACGACAGGACCCACCACATGACGATGCGCCTGTGCCGGCACTGCTTGGCAGCTTTGCCAACTTTCTTCAGGACTGCTCCACCTCGGTGTGTGTGTGTGTGTGTGTGTGTGTGTGTGTGTGTGTGTGTGTGTGTGTGTGTGTCGTGAGTATGTGTCGTGATCCGTCATTGCACTGCATTTGCCATTTCTGACGCTCTTAACCACAGCACGAGCTCACGTGGACTGCATGCTCTCCCTCGCTGCTCGGTGCGCCACCAACAGCTGCCGGCCTCTCCCGTGCGGGATCGAACACCAGTGTTGGGTTCGCCAACGCTGCTTGATATGCGTGAGCACACCGACGCTGCACACGACAACCAACAGCCAGTTCCCCTCACCACTGCTGCCGCAAGCACTCTGAGAACCCCAGCAGCATCAACAACAGCTGGGGCGGCGGTGCAAGAAGGGGACGATGTCGTGGGAGCAACGAAAGGCTTTGGATGCAACGCAGACGCGCCGCCGATTGAAGAGGAAGTGGAGGGCGATCGTTTCAGCGATGCACACGCGTCAGTTCCTGAGGACAACAGTGACCCCGACGACGACGACGATGACGATGACGATGATGATGATGATGATGATGATGATGATGATGATGATGATGATGATGATGATGATGATGATGATGATGATGATGATGATGATGATGATGGTGGTGGTGGTGGTGGTGGTAGTGACAATGGTGGTGGTGACGAGGGAGTGCAGGGTGACAGCCTGAGGAAACGCGTACAACGCGGCCATGACAGAGCTGGAGTCGGTCGCGGTGAAGCGCACAGTGATGACGATGATGACGATGATGACGATGATGACGATGACGACAACGATGGCGGCGAGACTGGTGATGGCATCAACAGTGACGATGACGATGACGATGATGATGAAGACGGTGATGAAGACGGTGATCCCACGTTCATCTACGATTCGCTCCCGCCGTCACTGCAGCTGCCGCTGGCGCAGGTTGCTGCAAGCGTTGCCAACCTGGTCAGGCAGGCGGCGCCCTCTGTGCCGCTGTCACCGCGCACACGCCGGGCGAGCGAGAGGTTTCACTTGCAGTGGCAGCGTGTGCTGGAGCAACAGCAGCAACAGCAGAGACAACAGCAGAGACAACAGCAGAGACAACAGCGGCGGCAGCAGCGGCGGCGGCGGCGGCGGCGGCGGCAGTTGGGTCCGAGACGCAGGCGCGGCCGAGGTGTCACGGATGGGGTTGCAAGTGACAGTGACGATGACGATGCAGCGTTGCATGCGGAGGACTGGGAGCCCCTGCCAGAAGAACAAGTTCAAGACAATGACGGTGGTGATGATGGTGATGGTGATGATGATGGCATCAATGGAGAAGAGGAAGAAGAGGGAAGAACACGGGCGCGCGCAGACAACGCTGGCCCTCACGGTGACCATGACGATGACAATCGTAGCGATCATGATGATGGTGGTGGTGTACAGAGGTCACGCATATCCAACGGTGAAGAAAATGATGATGATGATGATGATGATGATGATGATGACGGTGGTGCGGATGATGACGACGACGACAACAACACGTTCATCTACGACTCACTGCCACCGCAGTTCCTGCCTGCGCTCACGTCGTTCCGACAGCAGCTCACGCGCGTGCCGGCACCCGAGCTCGACATTCGTGCACTGCAGGACGCGTCGCACCGTCTGGCCGGCATGGTTGATGCCGCAGGCACACGGGTTCGTCGAATGAACAGCGATGGTCGCGGTGGTGGGTGATGGTGGTGGGTGATGATGGTGGGTGATGACGATGGGTGATGATGGTGGGTGATGGTGTGCTTGTGTCTCCAGTGCATCTCCATGCGCACATGCACGCACTCACGTAACCGCATATAAGTACCCGCACAAGCACGTGTCTCACACACTCACCTTTCTTCCCCTCTTCCCATGTCACCATCACCTTCATCTTTTTCCAACAGGCCCGCACGGCTGCGCGCGCTGCTCGTGCAACTGTGGACCAAGCGCGTTTAGATCTCATTGCCGCCGCCTCCAAAAACGTCGAACGCGCCGTCCAGCGTTTTGAGCGCGCACGAACCGCTTACGCCCAGCGCCACGTATGTGCTGTGCTACTTGTGTGCTGTGCGTTTCGCGTGGTGTAGCGTGCGTTTGACACACTGCTCCTTGTATACATGCGCTTTCACTGTGTCTGTGTTTGTGTGCGTGTTGCATGCATCATGTGAATGCTCAGTTCCCACATCATCCATGTCTCTACTTGCCTCAACACCCCTTCACCCCGCCCCCCTCACCACCACCACCACTATCGTCGCCAGATGCCACGTGAGGCGCAGCCTGTTCCCGAGCTCAAGACAATTGTCGCCCAGCAGGTCACCGCATACAGCTCAGAATACGGTGCGTGGAGGGAAAGGGGGAGGAGAAGGAGGCGTTCTGCACTACATAGTGTGTGTGCGTGTGCGCGCGTGCGTGTGTGTGTGTGTATGTGTGTGTATGCATGCGCGCTATGAGTGTAATGTCACCATGTCTTTTCTTGTACACCTTTGTCTCATCACACCCGCTCCCCTTGCCCTGCCTGTTTTTTTTTTTTTTTTTTTTTTTTTTTTTGTCTTGCCTCACATATCCACGCTTTCGACATCTATCCACCCCCTCCTCTCTGCTCCTGTGTCTGCAGGCATCAATGGGTACTGCGCATCCAACCTGACAGGGCCGCGACGTATCTATCCAAGATACGGCGATTATTCGCACGCAATGGTCCTGCGGACCTATGGGCCGTGGTGGCTGGAGGCACCAGGGGCACCGCCCCCAATCGCAGACAAGCAGCGCCGCATCTTCAGATCTCTAAGTGCGCCACGACCCCGTGTTTCGTGTGCGCGCGCGTGTGTGCATGTATTTGTGTGCATAGTGTGTGTGTTGTGTGTGTGCATGTATTTGTGTGCATAGTGTGTGTGTGTGTGTGTGTGTGTGTGTGTGTGTGTGTGTGTGTGTGTGTGTGTGTGTGTG